ATGGGGCAGCGGTATGTTGGGAAATGAAACAGAGAATGCAAGAGAATTAGGAAACTTTGCCCTAATCATTTCAATAATTTTTCAACTTGCTAATTTCATCACAGAGGCAAGGAACTATTTCTCTGCCTCATCAATTACGTTTTTCTGAAAAATGAAAAAGTATATGCATTATGTCAAATTCCATAACAACAGAATACTTGTCAGATCCCATGGAGTGTCATAACAGAAGAGTAACTCTGAAGCCACAGAAGTAGCTATCAAGATTGCTTCTTATGTATTTACTCCTGCCTATTTTCAAAAGAAAAAGGGGAAACATAGGAAGATAGCACAAACTCAGTCCATCTTCCCAGAAACTGTCTGAAAGGCCCAAAGGATTGGCTATAAAATGAAGAAGGAAAATCCTCTGGCTTGACACCCAGATGTAAGGTCCAGAAGGCAGGGAAAGATCCTGCTCACAAAAGCTGGCTAGACCAGCCTCAAACTTGCTTAACTTTGTCCTCATACTGTTTCCATTGCAGGATTTGTTCTCCCTTTAGAGGCTCTTTTCTGGATCACAGATTTTTTTTTTTTTTTTTTTTTTTTGAGTCAGAGTCTCACCCTGTCACCCAGGCTGGAATACAGTGGCGAGATCTCGTCTCACTGCAACCTCCACCTCCCAGGTTCAAGTGATTCATTCTTCTGCCACAGTCTCCCAAGTAGCTAGGATTACAGGCGTGCACCACTACACCCAGATAATTTTGTATTTTTAGTAGAGATGGGGTTTCACCATGTTAGTCAAGCTAGTTTTGAACTCCTGACCTCAGGTGATCTGCCCACCTCAGCTTCCCAAAGTGCTGGTATTACAGGTGTGAGCGACCACGCCCCACCGAGATGTGAGTATTGAATGACTGAGGGATCATCATTCAATTATTGACTCTAAATCAAGCTGGGTGATTTAAAGAGTTATTCTAACCAAAAAGACTTATTTGGGAATGCTCTACGCAATCATAGTGACTCATCTTGGAGAGCTCCCACCCCCAAGAAGTGAGTACTCACAAGTCAAAGACACCAAATTCTCAGGAGAGGCCCAAACTTGTAATGCAATTGGTTTCAGCCATTCCACATGAGATAGTAATTGGGGTCTGTGGCTTAAGAAACCCATGCAGTAACAGAAATGGAGAAGGAGGGTGTGGCAAGAGAAAGGCAATGTTGGGAGTTAAAGGTATGGGGCTGGAGACGACAAGGCCATACATCAGTCCTGCCTGTCAATTTTTGACACCTGGAGCACATGCTTAGGTGGGGAACTTCTAACCACAACCCTTACCTTCCAGTATTTGAAGAAAAAAATTTCAATAACTGCCTTAACCTGAAGTCTCAGAACACACCGGGTTGGGGCAGATCTGGTGGAGGCAAGGAGTGGGTCAGTCCCTAGGTGTTTTCTTCAGTGAAGAAGCGACACCAACTCATGGTGGGGGAAATGTGACTACTTGGTCCTTAATATCTGAGGAAAGCCAGCAGGAGGCAGTGTGGGAGCAGGGTACAGAGAATCCAGCATGGAAGAAAGACAACAGGAAAGCACAGCCAGGGCAGGAACCATCAATGGATGTAGGAAATAGACTAGACGCAAAGTAGTTTACAGTGGTTCCCAAGATCCAGTATTTGCCTTCCCCTTCCACAGGTTTTGAGGTTGGCATGTATCCCCTGTACTGTAACTTAACAGATCATTTGAAAAGACTCTTCCAGGCTGGGCAACAGGATGAGACCTCCATCTCTACTGATAAATAAATAAACAAACACTTAAAAACACCCCCATCCTAAGGAATAAAGTGCTAGTTATACTTTTCTCTTAATACAAATTAGAATAAGACAGAAGTACTAGTATTAAAATGTTTCCACATTCCACCTAAAATCATCCGGCACCTCAGGGAGGTCCAGCTGCTGTACTTTGGCACATGCTGGTAGCCAGGAGTCCTGAGCCTGAAGTTTGGTCTGCCTCCACCCTCATCTCTCTGCATGACTTCTCTGGGAGCTACAGCCTCTCCATTTTACACTGAGAGAGAACTAAATGAACTCTAAAGCTGCCCTGACAGCTGACAGTCAAGGTTAGCATGTTTCTGTGTGGCTCTGGCAAAAGTACCCCAAGATGACATTGGCAAGGCCCTAGCAGTTTCCCAGTTTCTGTTCTTTTGGGGTAGCTACAGATGGGAAAAAGGCTAAAGCATCTGGAAACAGAGGAAGGAGGGGTAGGAAGATAGTCTAGAGTGGCAAGAACATGAGATGTGAACCAAAGAAATATGGCATCTCCATTTACTGGCTGAGTGTAAGATTTATTTATAAAATGGGAATAATCACGTCCTTTTCCCCTTAATTTATATAAATAGCCCTCAACTTTCACTTTCAAAAATATACACAAACATTTATATCCTAAAGTACTTCTAAAAGCCCCACTCAGAAATGCACACAAGAGCTGGAAAACATATGGGTCCTTCCCACAAGTCATCAGTTTAGTTTTGGCAGCTTTGCTAGTGGAGCCATATTTCTTAAATTATTTAAGAAATGTAGGCCGGGCAGGGTGGCTTATGCCTGTAATCCCAGCACTTTGGGAGGCTGAGGTGGGCGGATGACAAGGTCAAGAGATCAAGACCATCCTGGCCAACATGGTGAAACCCCATTTCTAAACATACAAAAATTAGGCCAGGCGTGGTGGCTCACGCCTGTAATCCCAGCACTTTGCAAGGCCAAGGCAGGCAGATCACAAGTTCAGGAGATCGAGACCATCCTGGCTAACACAGTGAAACCCCGTCTCTACTAAAAATACAAAAAATTAGCTGGGCGTGGTGGCGGTCACCTGTAGTCCCAGCTACTCGGGAGGCTGAGGCAGGAGAATGGCGTGAACCCAGGAAGTAGAGCTTGCAGTGAGCCGAGATCGCACCACTACACTCCAGCCTGGGCGACAGAGCAAGACTCTGTCTCAAAAAATAAAAAATAAATACATAAAATAAAAATACAAAACTGCCAGGCACGGCGGCACACACCTATAATCCCAGCACTTTGAGAGGCTGAGGCGGGCAGATCACGACCAAGAAACCCCGTCTCTACAAAAAATACAAAAAAAATTAGCTGGGCGTGGTGGCACGCGCCTGTAGTCCCAGCTATTTGGGAGGCTGAGGCAGGAGTATGGCGTGAACCCGGGAGGCGGACCTTGCAGTGAGCCGAGATCACGCCACTGCACTCCAGCCAGGGCAACAGCGCAAGACTCTGTCTCCAAAAAAAAAAAAAGAAGCTGGAAAAACACAAAAATTAGCTGGATGTGATGGTGTGTGCCTGTAGTCCCGGCTACTCGGGAGGCTAAAGGAGGAGAATCGCTTGGACCTGGGAGGAGGAGGCTTCAGTAAGCTGAGATCAAGGCACTGCACTCCAGCCTGGCAATAGAGCAAGACTCTGTCTCAAAAAAAAAAAAAGAAAATATATTGCATTACCTGCCTCTTTTAGTGACACATTTCCTTTAATTGACACAAAGGAAAAAAGTACCCAAGTGGCAGTTCTTAAATCTGGTGTTCTCTAGACTTAAAGCTCGTCGAATGTATGCTTAAATGTGAAGGAAAAGAACAAAAGTGAAAAACGCTGGAAATGTATGAGCCAAGACTGTGCCTAAAAGGCAAAGTGGGCTGGGTACAGTGGCTCACACCTGTAATCCCAACACTTTGGGAGGCTGAGGCGGGTGGATTACCTGAGGTCAGGAGTTGGAGACCACCCTGGCCAACATAATGAAACTCCATCTCTACTAAAAATACAAAAAATGAGCTGGGCATGATGGCGGGCGCCTCTAATCCCAGCTATTTGGGAGGCTGAAGCATGAGAATCGCTTGAATCCGGGAGGCGGAGGTTGCAGTCCAAGATTGTGCCGCTGTGCTCCAGCCTGGGCAACAAGTGTGAAACTCCATCACAAAAAATAAGGGTCGGGCATGGTGGCTCACGCTTGTAATCCCAGCACTTTGGGAGGCTGAAGCAGGTGGATCACCTGAGGTCAGGAGTTCAAGACCAGCCTGACCAACATGGAGAAAGCCCATCTCTACTAAAAATATAAAATTAGCTGGGCACGGTGGCGCACGCCTGTAATCCCAGCTACTTGGGAGGCTGAGGCAGGAGATTCGCTTGAACTCCGGAGGCAGAGGTTGTACTGAGCCGAGATCGTGCCATTGCACTCCAGCCTGAGCAACAAGAGCAAAACTCCATCTCAAAATAAATAAATAAATAAATAATACTAATAAAACAAAATAAAGGCAAAGTGTTTATACTTTTTTTTTTTTTTTTTTTAGCTTTTAGGGAACAGAGTCCCTCCTTACAACGCACAAGTCTAGAGAGTCTGTATTTACCACAATCAACTTCTGGAGATTTTCAGGAAATGCATTGTGTTCAAAATGTTGCCTATGCATTGTTTCATTCCATAAAAGCTGCAGCCTACAGAAAAATACAAATAAATAAACCTGGGTGAGAGCAAATGTAAATCATGAGGCCAAAAACACAAGATCTGTGCATTTTATTTTTGTAAACAATATCTAAAACGTACCTCAATATAAAAAACCAGAAACAAAATAACAAAAACAGGGCGTGAGAACAAAAAATACAGATGACAGGTTCTGTAGTTATGATACTGAATTGAGCTTCCTGTCAGCCAAAACTAGAAGGGAAACATGACCACTACCTGACTTTTGCAGAGGCTTTAGATCTGAGCACTTGGATCTGAAAACAGTTTCTCTTTAGATGTCTTCAAATAAGGGACAGTATCCTTGATGACAATACAGTACATATATTAACAATTCTCCTAAGACCATCTCTGTGTATATCAAGGTTATACCTGGATGAATATTTCTGCAGCAGGCATGGGGTAGGCAGGCAATATGACCAAATATGTAGTTTGGATGCTCAAATGAAACAGAAGGAGCTCAGGCAACCATGAAGCATGGTGCACGTATCAGGGTCAAATGTTCTAACCCTAAGATTGGGGTGCATGAGAACTGGTGGAATTAACTTCCTAGTGTGACTAATCCAACTTAGCTCAAAGTGACTCTGAGATCAGCCCTTCTCATAAGTCAATTCATAAACGAATGCTTTAGTTACAGGAGGTATTAACTGCAAACGAACAGCCAAGAGCATTCCTGGGCATGTCCATTGAGCTCCATGTAGCAGAGGCCATTAACTGGGTCTCAGCAACCAAATTCTCTTTCATCTTGTAGTCACAGCATCCCTGAGTCTTAACTCGGCACATGACTGCCCAGATAAGAGGCTCTATGTCCCAGCATCTCTTTCAGCAAAGTGTGGCCACAGTGATTTGAGCAATGCTCAGTCCTGTCTTTTTTAAAAAACATATCTTTTCTCTCTCTCTTTCCCCAGGAGAATGCAGATATGGAGCTGATGAGTCTTCTTGGATATTGTGGGTAAGAAAACATACTGGGAATGGCTGAATAAGACAGAAGGAAACCAAGTTCCTGATAACCTTGTAGAGTTAAATCTGCCCTAGACCATCTGATTACCTCTCTATTATTAGGTGAGAAAAAAACAAACTTCAATCTTACAGCAGTTTGGCCTGTGGCTTAACATATTTCACAACAGAAGGGAAAGATGTCAGAAGGAGAGTTCAAAGGACTCAGGCAACATCCTAGGAAAGTCAATTCGCAAATCACTTCAGCAAACAGGTCAGAAAATGGTAACTATCAAACCAGTTGTGCCTTCCACTCTATCTCCAGGATAGAAGCCCAGTTACATCCTCTGACAAAAGGAAGAGGCTCTTATTATAGCACAATCCAAACATAAAATGCAGCATGTTCACGGTGGGCCTGAGACAAATCCCCAATAGTTGAGGATACAGACTGTTTTCCCCATCAATACCAGGCAGGGACATTCCTGTCCTACCTTTCCCCTAAAAGAGGCAGGGTCCAAACTTCTCCATTCTTCATAATTACCATTCTTGAGGATAGGCCAAATCCAGTAAGGAATGGAATAAAACAGCTGATGGGGGGCTATGTGTGAGAGTCAGGGGGTTGGGGAGGGGACTCCAGAGCCCCAGAACAAAAGCCACAGCTGGGAACCAGAGAAGAAGAGTAGATTCCATGTCTACCCTGGGTTTCTGGGGTCCAGGGACCTGAGAGTCAGCACCTGCTTCTCCTGTGGAGTACCCCTGGTGACAGAGCTCAGCTGGCAGCTGCTCATCACTAACGAATCCCAGCCACCGGCACCTGCTGCTGCTTGCGGATCTTGTTGAAGAGTTCCATGTACTGGACCATGGTATCTGCTGGGCCGTAGACTGCATCATGTCTGTTCCCAAACACTGCGGGAGCGCCTGGTGTGTGGCTGCCTAGAAAACTCTGTAGGAACTCAAGCAGCAGGCTCCAGCAGTCACTAGCTACCACACAAGGGCCATACTCCACCTGGGAACCAAAAGCACAGAGAATGAGGGTGAATGAAGGCTAAGACAAGGTCTGCTTCTCTTGCACCTCCTGCCTCCTGCTCCCATCTTCCCCAACCCCAAGCTAAAGACACACACCTCCTAGCACAGTGTTGGTCCACAGGAAACATTCAACCCAAACACTGGGCTCAACACCCACATCTTTAGGCATCTTTGACATTTCTCTTTCTGGAGCTGTGCCAACCTGCAGCCCTCCCAGAGGATCCAGAAGCAGATCTGGGCCCCTTTTGATGATCTCAGGACTGTGTTGTCCCTGCTATGCTGGGTAAAGATTCAAGGAGAGCTCAAGAAAATTCTAAGAGACATGACAAAGATAAAGAGAAGGAAATGTGTGTGATGGTGTAAGTAGAGAGCAGAGTAGACACAAATGCTTATGAGTTTTTTTCAAGACCATATTTTACTCCCTAGGTAGAACCAACCTGGGCTCCAACCCTAAGAAAGAATTTCCCAAATAGTGTGGCATGGGCCAAAAAATATACATCTTCAGTTTTCTCCTTCTGCTCTCTTAATTTTTTACTGGAGAGATGGCAGGGCAAAATTACTGGCAACCCTAAGGAGAAACAAGTAAATAAACAGGTGGGGTGTGTTCCTACTACAAGATTAGAAATGTGGAGGATAAACAGTAGGTCCTCAGTAGGTCTCAGCAAATCCAAGGTCTATCACAAGCTGAAAGGGTTAGGAAGTCTTGGTCCTAGAGGTTGCTGAGCAGAAACTACCACTAATGCCCTTTTCTCCAAGTGGGATTCTTCCTAGACTTTTCTATCCCCATGTTTCTACATTTTAAATCCCTACATAAATGTTGATCCTCCAGGAAGCATCACAACCAAAGTCAGCAGTGCTCATACTGGCTTGAATTCCCGGAGCAAAATGCCTCTTTTATGGCATTTTCAGACTAACTTCAAAAATAGTTTGTGTGTTTCGGCCTCACTCAATAAATAAATCACAAATTTTCAAAGGGTAGACCCTGCAAGCTTACTTGTTTTCTTATCTTAGTGCTGGGCACATTATAAGTTGTGAACTTTCCCTGGTCCCAAAGAAGCCAGCTACTGCCACACTGCCACTCTCACTCCTTGTCACTATATATGTGTATGTATGCGCGCACACACACACACACTCTCTCTCTCAGGGTCACAGATGAAGTGATCTCACACACAAACACCTCTTTCTCCATGAAAGAATGCAGACAGCATGTCAAAAGGAAAAGCACATTTTTGCTTCCCAACTTTTGATACCTATCTTAAAGCATACTAAGGAGAGCTATATGGGCATATGTGATTTAGGGCCCACCTCCAGAAAATTATTCCAAGAGTTGTCTTGGTCTGCTCCAGTACTTCTTCTCATGGGTGACTGTCCCTCCATATCATAACTCACCTGCCTTCCTTGACTATCTTTTCCCTTCTCTAGCAAGCCACCCTTCCTAATGAAGCTTTCTGCTTGCTTTGAACCCAAATTCCCACTTCCTACTTCCCACCTTGTGTTAGAGAGTCTCAGTCTCTGAAGGATAAAAGATTCACGGAGAGAAAGCACAGATGCCTTGGAGTCAGGGATCAGGTAGGCATAAATATCTGTTTAAATTGAGAAGGACTGGAGGCCAGGTGTGGTGGCTCATACCTGTAATCCCAGCACTCTGCGGGGCTGAAGTGGGAGGATCACTTGAGCCCAGGGGTTTGAGACCAGCCTGGGCAACACATCAAGACCTCATTTCTAATTAAAAAAAAAAAAAAAAGGCCGGGCGCGGTGGCTCAAGCCTGTAATCCCAGCACTTTGGGAGGCCGAGACGGGCAGATCACGAGCTCAGGAGATCGAGACCATCCTGGCTA